GGGCAGCCGCCATATTGGACGCCATTTTGGATTTTTGGACTTGAAAAAATTCCCAGTTGTAGGGCAAGAATGAATAAAGATTTGACAAAAAACTCAGGTCTCTAACTCTTACCAGTTCCCTGGAAAAAAAAATCCAAAGTTTAGGTCAATTGAACCGGAAATCCCCCTTAATGAAAACCAACATACATACGACCAATTTCACGTGAGTTTGAATGTTTACCTCTCATTTCTGAAGAACGCTCGGACTTTTCTCTTGATACCGCCCATTAGATTCTGCACAACTTTCTTCTTAACGTTTCGTTGGGCTGCAGACCAAATTTTCTTGAAGCAGTCAACAGATCTTGCTTCTCTTCCATCTTTCTTAAGATGCCGTTTAATTATTGCCCAGTTTCTTTCCATAGGACGCAGTTCAGGGCAGTTTGAGGGATTTTGGAATTTTTCGACAAAATCGACTTTTTCCTTCTTGAGCATCTCCAACATAGCAGCAGCATAGTGAGCACATGCCAGATCCGGCTAAAACAATGGAGGATCCGTATGCTTTCGGTAGATGGGTAGAAGCCGTTTTTTATGCATTCTTTTCTGTAATTTTCACCATTGATTGGGCCCGTTGTGAAATACGAAGAACTCTTCAAGCCACAGGGGCAAATGGCTTGCCACACCAAAACCTTTCTTTTCCAAATTTTCCGGTTCGTATGTATCGCAGATCATCAGGCACATCTATCCTCTGCTCAGCGTTGAAAAATTGCGGCCCGGGAAGTGTACTACCCAAGTAACAATTCAGCAGCTACTTAGCATCCAGTCTGGTTTATGATGGTTTTATAACGGAAATGAACAATTCATTTAGTTTGAATACAGCATTGCAAAGTGTAAAACATTCCTGATTAATAATTCAGCTTATTGCTGTTTTAAAAACCTTCTATAGTCTGTTGAGAAAGTCAAAATCTTTCTTGCTTTAAAAATAAATTTAAAACAGCTCTCAACCCCTTCATAAAACTGTTCTGTAAATCAATTATAAACTTCATTAGTTATTGATTATTAATGCCTTGATAAAATACGCTACAAAGTTGTTCTATCATTATAAAAGCAACCATAAAACCATTCGGTTTTAAATGAGAGCAAAAGGCATACATTGTTGTTGTTAAGACTTGTTAAAGTGTATCATAAAATCCCCAATTACTCTATTTCCAAATTCGAAGACGAAAGTAGAATGAAAAATTCAAGCGATGCTAACGACCGAAGGAAAGTCAATTTCAGCAACGACTGAGCATCTAACGTTTGCATCACGTTCTGACTGGTGTTGACGGTCTCCTTTATGAAAAAGTTTAAAAACAGACCAGCCTTCTCCAGATCAGACGAACGAAATAATTTGCATTTGTACCTACAGAAAACCACTGAAACTGGCAGTAAGCGGAGATTGACTGGTTTCCGATTCATAGCAGTAATTTTATTCCGCGAAAGGTTCAAAATTTCATTCAAGCGTACTTAATTTAAACTGCACCGTTTGATGGTGGACTTCGGGAACCATCGGGAAGAAGGGGATCTTTTACAGGAACAATTGAGCTTCCAGCTGTTTCATTATACATGCGAAATGTTGCAAAACAGTTCCGTACATTTCCTTAGTAACTGCTTCCAATCCAGCGGGAGAAAATCGCCTGGAAGAACGCTGGAGTAAAACCTCGTTGTAATGATCTAACAACGCAACTGTCGAAAGATAAACCAACTTTGACGTTTAACTTTTTGCAGGCAACATTGCCTCCATAAATGCTGCCATAAATCTCAACGGGTTAGGATCAAGCAAAATGGCTTTGGATAAATACGATTCAGTCAGGAAGTTTTCTTCATAAAAGCTATTTTAAAACCTTATGAATTTGTCGGGGATTTCATTAAAGCAAAACAACTTTTTCACAAATGGCCCATGCAAACCAACTTTTAAGCCACCGCCATATTACAATTATTTAGTTTGACTTTTTCAAACTTCGTTTTCAATGTGTATTTCCATGGATATAGCTTTATTTTGGTCAATTTAGGAATGAGCAGATATTTGAAATACGATAATCATAAAACAAACCTCGGCTGGGCTTAATGATCAATCTGAAGAATAATGAATTTTTCTTCTCGATTAGAAATAATAAGTGAGATCAACGTTTTCCGAGGGCGTACTTATTTTTTTCGATGTTTTCAAGTACATTTCACATAAGATTTAATATGGCACCTTTAATTTGGCCATCTTATGAGAACAATTTTAATAATTTCGGAAATTGAATAGGCTTTTTATATGATCAGTTTGTATTTCAATTATATTGGTAAGATCGGATGGTACTTTTTGAATCCTTTTCTATCTTGATTGATGATTTTTCTAGTGGATTCAGCAAGCGGCTATCCCTGGCTTAAAAAAGGTTTTTATTGTTGCCAAATAGCTTTTATTGTAGCTTAAATACGGGTTTCAAATGGTTCTCAATACGTTCGTCATACAACCTTTTTGCAGTAAATCAATCTTGAAGAGTTTCGAAAATATACCCTTCAGAACCTTATCCAGGATGGGCCAACTAGACAGATTCTAGTCTTAATGAGGTTTTGGTGGATGCATCAATGGCAAACTAGCCTTGACCAGAATTTTATGAATGTTGTTTTATAGTAACTTTGTATTAATTCATAAAACTTAAAATGTTACTTGAGTAGTATCCGCGCGGGCTTTAATTTGGCGTCCAGGTTCAGTTGGTAGTTCCGTTAGAGTACGGCAGTGTGAAAATTGTATATTGCTCGCTTTCTACTCGCTATATACAATTTTCACACTACCGTACTCTAACGGAACTATCAACTCTATACTTTCATCTCCTCATCTATCGTATAAAAATTACCACTTTAGTCTGTTATTTGAAATTAGCATATTCAACTATTTCAATTAAGATTTATCTCCTCAATTGCTCGTAGAATTTATTGTTATGTTATTCATCTTCTGTTAGCATTATATGGAATTTCGATTGGGATTATTTAGAATCTTCCTTGAAGTGATTTGGATTTTCTGTCTGTTTGAGAATGACACTTGGAATAATCAAGAATCCCATTTGATTTGCTACAGAATCGCACTTGAGGTTCTTGGTTATCCCTCTTGGAATTCTCAAGAAATGCTCTTTTGTTATCCAGACTAACTGTGGTGATTCACCGAGCGTCCTCCGATTTGATTTGTTGGCTATGGATAGTGATATTCGGCAATCCTTCTTGAAATCCCACAGAACCACAATGGAGATTCATTTCTAGCATTATTGTTGAAATACTGGACATACAAAAATAATTCAACTTTATTTTTCTTTTTGTTTTTCATTGGAATATAGAAGATCTGACATTATTTGTCATTTAATTTTGCTGCTTGTTTTTTTATGTATTCAAGTATAAAACAGCAAAAATGGTTATCTTCCATTTAATTACACTTCATTAATTTTGGTATCCATGACACATACGTATTTCGGCTACAATGTACAGTCTTCATCAGTGTCATTCCCACTAAAGAACCTATCAAAACCTAACCTCCTTAAGTACTCATCCCCTACACACTTAGAAATACCTAATCTTACACATGACGGAATCCATCTTTGACAAAAAAGATAAGACGTAAACAAACATGTCATGATTTTTGCGTCTATGATGACTCAATTTTATGTCAAAATTGACGCTCGTTTATATGTCAGTCTCAGAGCACATAAATTTACATTAATTTTTCCAAGTGTGTAGGTCAAAATGTCAAGATCACAGGTATAAAAATGAAACTACAATGTGCAGTCGAATAACCTTTTTTGCTGTTTTATTCAAAGCATTCCACTAACAACCTCATTTCATTTCATCATGACTACCAAGCCTTTGGGAATTTTCCTTATCTACTCTCATCAAATTCTATCAAAAAGCATGAAATTGCATCACAATTTTCAACAGTCTTCTTTTTACTTATTAATTTGAACCGTGTCTCACGACAGCTAAACGAAATCTTCCCTGCATTTTAGATAGAGTCGCTCCCCTCGTAAATAATAACAGATTATATTTGAACAGAATAGAAGTCAACATTTGGATAATTTGGCTTTATCGATCAAGCCACAAATCATGGTGATAAATTTGTGAATACTTCATCAAACAGGAGCTGAAAATTCAGAAATCATGATGCACAAACTGAGAAGTAACATCTCTTTAAACTTTCAAAGGGTGTCGATGTATTTTTTTTGTTTTATCCAGTGCTGTACATCCAAAAATGTAAATCTAATTTGAATCTTATTCAGCTGTTTATCAACTTTAATTGTTTGTTGAGCATTTAGTAAGTTAATGAAATAACGAGCAAAGGCGTAAAATGACAATTTGAGAATATAATTGATTTACTAGAATAAAATAAACAGTTTGTATTACGCTGCTTTTACTGCATTTGTTTATTTTTGTGGCCATTAAAATTACATGAGATTTTCGACATGATTGAGGTGCATCCTCTTGCATGCAAGATTAAAATTTATTTTTTGCTGTATTAAATTGCTGCAAGCTGAATTTAACCGAGCATGAATGTTATAAGTGTGATACACGCCAGTTTCCCTTTCGAAAATAATTATTACCAAAACGCCACTCACCAAACAGCAAATCACAATATGTACTGTCTCTCCAAATTTGAAATTCAACCTTCGGTCTGATTGACGGAGTTCATTAAAAACCAGCTCTTCATCCTATTAATGTGAACAATTTTCACCTTCGCTGACCACCAAAAAACATTAATAATAACATTCCAAACCACTAATTGCCGCAGTAGGTATGGATGCAGCTGAAAAAACTGCTTAAACCACATTCAACGGTAGAACGATTGTGACAAAATTACATTTTAATTGCGGAAAAGGTCGTTCGTTCGACAGGTTTTCAAAAATTCATCATTCAAACAGGCAATGGCTTCCTGAAGATAAAAAGATTCACAGCCTACTGCTACAGCTCGTATCAATTTTTATAACCTAATGCTCACTTTTTGTTCCTGTTCCCAGCTCCAGATCGAGGACTACGACGACGAAGGAAACTCCCAGAGCTACTTTTTACACTCGTCACCACATTCCGATAGTAAGTACAGTACAAATTACCGCACCTCGTATATCTACTAAACAGCTGTTTACGAACGATGACGGAGAGTCAGAGCACGTCCAGCACACGCTTCACCGATTCCGGACAAAAACACCGCCGACTCACGTAACTCCTAACAGTATCAGACCTATGCTTGCCGCCCAACGAGTATGTACATAAATTGGTGAACAATCGGCACGGAATCGTACTTTTGAGCCCTTTCCTCTATATCTATCAAAATTGGTTGCGAAATACGAACCACAACACTGTCGTCACTGTGCTATTAGTCTCTATTCACCTACATAAAATGTAAATACAATTTTTCTGTAACGCATGTAAATATGACCGAGCTTTCGTTCCCTTTCACTTTGCTCCTTTTTTGCTGTGGTGGATACGCACACTTTTAAATCCAAGATCAAGACAATAAAACCACGTGGAGTTCAACGAGCGTCTCGCGAGTTACAGGCTTCTTCCGGGACGTTCTGCAGCGATTGGGCGTCTACAAGTACATTGAAAAGCATCAGGCGGACCAACAACGGTTCGGTCCATTGAGCCCACATCGATTCCACCCGCACTTCATCAACACCCCCAAGGGGCTTCGAAATCTTCCGGCCCATTTCAGCGACCAGGTGACACCGGCGCTGACGACCGGTAATGCCGGGGTGACAACGCCGATTACGATCGGTGGCAGCTCGTCGAAGCGACCTCCACGGCCCTCGAAGACCGCCATCGGGGGCCTCTTCAATCAGTTCAAGCAACGCATCAAAGCAATCTACCCGGGTACGGTGTGGTGCGGCGATGGCAACCAGGCCAAAAGTGAAAACGACATCGGATTTTTCTACATGACGGATGCGTGCTGCCGGGCGCACGATCTGTGTCCGGCGTCGATCGTCCCCGGAGAGCAGTTCAATCGACTGAAGAACAATGGGTATTTTACCAGGTGAGTTGACGGGTTGGAACAAGGAAAATTTTACTCCAAGAATTATAAAATGCTTGAAAACGGAAAGGCATTGAATAGTGACAGTTCGTAGAACTATCGATCATACTTCAGTAGACTATGAAGAAACTTTGGCTATGTTGGAGAGGTTACGAAGATTTCAACGTGAAATCTTGTTACATTAAGATTCATAAAGATGATCCTCGAACCTGAATGGAAAGCTTATATTACATTTAGGAAAAAATCATGATATTCTTTAAAATCACCTCCGTGAACGTTCGCAAGACTTCGTGCAATTACAAAGATTTTCAGAGTTGGTTGAAAAAGCTAACATGAAGCTTTAGTGTGATAATTTATTAGCTAGAGAATGATCTTTAGAACAGGGTAGGTGGATAGTTCATTTAGATTACAACAGTATGAAAATTGAATAGAAGTTGAATATGAGCGAAGGGCCATTAATGCGACAGTATAAAGTCAAACGCACATCTTTTGCCTAACCCGTACGATGTACGCGGAGACTTGAAGTATGTCTTCAAGTCTACAGGCAAAAGATGTGCGTCCTCCTTTTGCTCATTACTGACTGCGGCTGTGGAATAGTTCTAGCGACGTTTCATCACTACCTAAAGCCCCACGTTGCGAGAGCATTTCCAGTCGATGGTCTGTTATAATGCAATTCTTCTTTACCCAACTATTGTGTTGCTCTTCTCGTCAAGGCTACAAAGATTATTTAGAGGCGGTTCAACAGCTTATGGAGTGTGTTAAATACACTTCCAGTTAAAGCAGAAAGAACCTAAGGTCAATATGAGGAAAAATTATGTGGGAAGTTCACAGAACTTCATAAGTTGTCATAAGTTCTCAAAAAACTCTGAGGATTTTTTGGAGAAGATCGTATATCTGCCGGAGAAAATTCAAAGATCTTTCAGAGGATATTGACAGTACTATTGGGAGATGATCGACGCATCTATAGAAGTTCAAAATAATCTTCAGAGGTCTTTGAGTGAAGTTCAGAGGACACTCAGAGAAAGTACGGAGGACCTGCATGGAATGTCCAGATAACTTCCTGCAGATATTTCAAGGACTTTCAGGGAAACCATTTCATTGTTTTTTTTTCAGGATATACTGAACAAATTTATAAGACTTGCAGGGTAGCATCAAAGATAAATTAAAATTACTTTTGGAGATGAACAACGCGAGGTTCAAGGGTTTCTGAAGAAAATTCAACGATTGTGCTCAGATGGCTTCCAGGTGAAGTTCATAGCCCATAAAACTCACTGAAAAATTGCATTTGTTTTTCTGAAGAAGTACACCCTAATAAAAAATACCATAAACGAACAAATGATTGAACTATTCAACAAATGGTGGATGATACCACGAACACGTCGTTACGCAAATTAACCTTAACATTTTTATTAGGGCAGGCAAAATAGCGAAAAAGAAATTAAATTTTTGAATCGACCTTCTCCGAATTGGACCTTAAAAAAAATACAAAATAGTGTACTTATTGCAAAAAAAATTGTAGTTTTAGAAAAAAATCATGTATTTCTGGGACAAATAAATTTTTAATTTTTTTTTTAAGTAACAATTAAAAAAAAAATATATTACAATACATATATCTCAAAATGTCATCGTCTGATTTTTATTAAAAAAAAAACTAATGAAAATGCATACTTTTTCAATGTTTAAAAGCATTGACACTTGAAAACTGACAAAAATGGTAGAACAAGAACTCTTGGAGGCGAACCAGCCTAAGGCTGAAAGCCTCCTAAATAAAGCTAAATAATAATAATAATAGAACAAGAACTTTTGATCAAATTTTTGATTTGTTGGTACTCTTTTTTGTGTATTTTGTCCCAGAATATGATTTAAAATGTCTCAAATTTGTTTATCTATTCATTTCAATCCTTTAAATTTGTCGAACCACTGAACGGAATCTTTTTATGAAAAGCTTTGAGTGATTTGGTTTATTTCCTTTAAATTCCATTATAATTGCTTATCTTTTGACAGATACGTGTATTTCGTCTACTACTTGCAGACTTCACCAGTGACAAGTGGTGTTGAGTACTTGGCACTGATGAAGTCTGCAAGTAGTAGACGAAATACGCGTTTCTGTCAAAAGATAAGCAATTATAACGGAAATAAACCAACTCACTCCAAGCTATTTATTTCGTCAAGCCAAATCTTGGAAGAGTGATTAAAGACAACCGTACACTCATAAAATAAATCACATAACCAGTGGAAAATCCATGTGGATTTCACATAAACTTCATGTGATCCCATAATTCGAAATTTCTCCACTAAATCACATGAACCTTATGTGTCCAATGAAAGCTTTATGATTACTCACATGGAATGTATGATGTTATGTGATATTCAGATAAAAATAATTAATTTTGTTATTGGAAAAATATGTGCATTCCTAATAGAAATTATGTGAAAACTTTTTTCAGTGTTGGTGTCGAGTGACTAATGTAAACTGTGTTTATTAATATCAATTTATTATCTAGACTACTGTGATTGGACTCTTCCGTCGAGTTGCTTCAGCTTTCTCCTTCACTCCTCCTCAAGCTCGACGCACTGAAGGTCAATCTTCTTCCGCAACTACTCTTAGGGTAATAAACAAACATCTATGACACCGGTACATACCAAATCCTTGACGAAATTGTACCTTGTGTCAATGTGCTTCGTTCGGCTATTTCCTCCTTCAGACCGTAGCATCGCAATACAACTTTGGTTGTCCTCCCGTCCGTACCGTGATAGGATTGGCAATGATCTATCCTAGGTTCTCCATTAGCTGCTTCCTAGCGCTCCAGCTAATTGATCCATCAAGCCGGAAAACGAATCCCACGATCACCAGCTCAGTCAGCGTCTACATATGCTTCTAGTGGTCCTGCAACTAATACACACTTAGAAAAATTAATGTAAATTTAGGTGCTCTGAGACTGACATATGCGAGCGTCAAATTTGACATAAAATTGATTCATAATAGACGTGAAATTCAGCTCAATCAAACATACTTTCGAACTTTTCAGTCACGGAGCACTTAATTTAACATGATATGTTTGTTTACGTCTCATCCTTCATGTCAAAGATGGATTCCGTCACGTGTGAGATAAGGTATTTCTAATAGCGAATTTGTTTTTGTTTCAGTTCCAACCTGGATCGGGTATCAAGATTGGGTCTCCTTGTTGTCAGTGTGAACGTTTGTTTTTGTAACCTGGCTCGGGTTGAGGTTCACACTGACAGGAAGCTCGGGTTTGCACGGGTTGGAACTGGTTCCAACCTGGATAATAAACAAATTCGCTATAAGTGTGTAGCTTCAATTTCAAATCGGCGGTAGTGTAGAGATATCGCAGTGTGCGTTAGGCTTCCGTCCAGTCTGCTTCGGTGGGATGGCTAACCTTGCGTCCCAGAATGGATGCACTAATAGCAATGTCAGGCCTCGTATTCACCGCAATATACAACAAAGCACCTACTAAGCTTTGGAACTCCTCGCTACGAGGCAACGGATCCTCCTCCATTTGTTGTAGATTCGGATATCCGGGGTCCATTGCGATATGAGACGGCTCGCTTTGTATTGTCCAAACTTAGCCGCTACCCTCCGGATGTAAGCGCTTTGAATCAACAGGAACTGGCCACTTTGCGTTTTCTGAATCTGAATACGCAGGTAGCTTCAAGACATGTGATTTTGAAATGTCACTGCAGAAATTTACGAACCCTTTCGTATTCTTCTACATAGAGTAAGACGAACGACTTCTTTCCGTGGCATGTTCTCATGTAGAGACAAGGATCGGATTCAGATGGAACGTATCCAAGTTCATGTAACACCTCGCTGATTTTCTCGTTCCACACTCTTCCCGCCTGCTTCAAACCATACAGGCTCTTTCGCAAACAGCATACATCATTCTTGGCACGGGACGTAGCAGGTTGCTTCATGAAGCTCGTCTCGGATAATTTGCCGGGAAGGTATGCCTTTTTAACTTCAACGTGCTGCACTATGTGGATACTCAAGAGGGCACGAAGAGTCGTTTGCTTCGCAACCAGTGCAAATACCTCGTCATAGTCTGTTCCATACTTCTGATTGTACCCTTGAGCATCATTCTCCTCCTATCCATGGGTTGATCCAGTCTCCTCCACAGTTTAGTCTTCATCGTCGGTCGTTTGATTATGAAAATCATCACAGGTTGACTCATAGCCGTAGACAACTTCGTCTTTTGCTTTATTATAGAGACTTTCAGCCCTTAGCTGGTTCGTCTCGTGCCGTAGAAATCATTATCGTTAGAATCACTATCTTCGTCGTCCGGTGTTAGGAATACTGCATCACGGCCAACAGTCAGTTTGTCGTTCTCACGATCCATGAAGCGATACGCCTTGTGCTGCAGAGAATATCCAACGAACAGAAGCTTTCTTGATTTTGCCTATTGGGCCTATTCTGTTGGGGAATCCACACGTGGGGTCGTGGCTATTTGTCTCCAATTTCTCGATCATCCGATACTTCCTAAATCTTGTTCGAACTTGACCTAATTAAGGCCCACTGGCTTTCTCTGCGTATCGTACATCGCGTAACATTTGAAAAGGGCCTATCCTCGTTGATCGATTCTCTTCATGGGAAGATTCAACGAAACTCGTAGTGTTTACAGAAGGTTTTAAAAAGTACAGTTACAGGTTTTTACAGATTGATAGAATTGCTGTAGATCAAGAAGATTAAGAGAAAAACCTCGATAGATTTCTTGGGAAATGTTGTTTGATGAAAATTTAAGAACTAGTGAAACAACCTACATTAGATCTTTCGAAAACTTCTAAGTAACATCCAAATTGTCCCGAAATGATTTAAAACTGAATAAGCCATTTTTTAGCCAAAGATATAAATATTTGGTTGAATAAGTTATTGTTCAGCTATCAATGTTTGTTGGGTACTATCTACTACTAGGAAGACTTCAGTGATAAGTGCAGAAGCCGGTCTGAGGAACTTCAGTGGATTTCTAAAGGAAATTCTGAGTACCTACATGAAAAGATTCGATGAATTCCTAAAAAATCGCATGTGAAAATAAGGAATCCCGCTGAGGACTAGCCAGAGCACTTCTATAGAAACTTCTAAGAGCTTCTCAGGGTAGTTCGAAAGACTTGTTTAGAAGACACCTAGACAATGTGCAATGCACTTTCTAAGAAACTACAAAGGAGTTTGAGAAAATTCAAAGTTGATGAAAAAATGTATATGTGGTTTCCATGACAACAATTAACAAGCCATGACAACGATTAGCTTAGTAAAGAGTATTTTAGATTAAATTTCTAACTAGAAAAATTCAAACTTATCGATATGTTTAAGGGGAAAGAGGACGTCACTATTTTTTGGAATAGCAGTTAGGCTAGTAGAATGCAAGTAACACATTTTCATGAACGTAATTTTGGTGAACGAAAAACCTGTTTTTGAATTATTGAAAATATCTGACCAAAACAATCCTACTGTGATGTGATGAACATTTCAAAAGGTCCTATCTGCATTGATCGATTTTCTTCATTGACTTTCTCTTTCGTCAATAACTCAGCTGCAAAACCTTTCCCTGTTGTATTTGACGGTTTGGACGCTAGATAAGAACCTTCTTTATCAAACTATGTGGTAGAATTAGCGCAAAATCTGTTTGCATAGCAGTGGTTATGAAAAGAGAAAGTCGATGAAGAGAATCGATCAAAGCAGATAGGACCATTTGAAATGTTCATCGAGATTTGACTTCGTTTTACCACAAACGAAGTGACAGACGGAGCGGCTCGAAAACATTGGTGACGAACCTGCTGTTGCAATTTTTCAGTGTACCACATGGCAACACTACTACTGGATTGTACTAGCATTTTCACAAAATGTACTAGAATGTTTTGGTTCTATCTCTTTCACCGCAACCACAAACGAAGTGACAGACGACTAACTGGCGAAGAAATCAATCAAAATAATGTGGTTTGCTGTAATAGAATTTTCTTAGAAGTTGGTGCCATCAGCCACCAGATGGGCTAGTATTTTTGTTTTGATTTTAACAAAGTTGATTTTGTGTGCAATCATCTTTAACAGTGTGCAAAGAGTGTATCATTTTGTCATTTTTTATGCATTTCAGTTTTGAGTAGAGTGAAAGAAATAGAACCAAAACATTCTATGTAGTACATTTGGTGAAAATGTTAGTACAATCCAGTAGTAGCACAAACAAAGTGACAGACGGAGCGGCTCGAAAACTTTGGTGACGCACCTGCTATTGCAATTTTTCAGTGTACCACATGGCAACACCACTACTACTGAATTGTACCACATGGCAACACTACTAATGGATTGTACCACATGGCAACACTAAATGTACTAGAATGTTGACAAAAATGACAAAATGATACACTCTTTGCACACTGTCAAAGATCATATTGCACACAAAATCAACTATGTTCAAATCAAACAAAGATACTAGCCCATCTGGTGGCTGATGGCACAAGCTTCTAAGAAAATTCTATTACAGCGAACCACATCGTTTGTGGTTTTACCATACAGGTAACTCTAAGACCAGAAGGTCCCGAAGAAACGTGCTCAACTTTTTGGCTCAGCTCTGGTACTATCTTCGGTCCCAAGCTAATCGATGCACTCCTCGAAACATAGGAAAATTCACGAACCCCTCATTTTATCTGTCAACCTTCGAATCAAAACAAACATAGTGTAGTACTATAATTTCGATTGGAATGAGGTACGTTAATCGATTTGCTTGGGGCCAATAGGCTAGTCAAGTATGGAGCCAATTTAAAATCGTTAGTTGTCGCCGGTTGGTTTTACTGTACTCCAAATTTCTGTCCTTGAAATGTTTTCAAGAACCTCGAATTGCAAAAACAAAATAAAAAACAACTTTTATGCGTCCTTAATGTAAAGAAAACTTGAAGGAGAATTCCAAGGTAAATCTGAGAAAAATTTCGTAGTGATTCTGAGTAAAATTTTACAGAGATTTAGGTAAATGTTAAGAAGAAATAAAAGAAATTCTGGAGTGAATTGAAATGGACTCGTTGAGACAAATACAATGGAATACTGATGAGAATTCCAAAATAATCTAATTTTGAATATTGTTCTAAATAAATTCTAGGAAGAATTTCTAGGTAAGCAGGACTCCAAGGGAATTCAGAGGATAAATTCACGAAACTGCAGATGAGAATTTTTAGAAATTTCAGTGAGTTTTTTATAGAACCGCTTAGACGAATTCCAAGGAAAATCTAAGAATAATTTCTTCATAATTCTGAAAAGTATACCAAGAAACTTGCATAACGAAGAAGTGAAAATCAGGCTTGTGGTAAATATTAAGAAATTTATGAAAATCGGAGAACGAAAACTTAAAGTTTCCAGGAGGGAAGTTGTAAAATGTTATCACAATTATAAAGGGAATGGGGGAGAGAATTCCAAAATTATTATAAGGGATGTACTATAGGATTGTTGACGATGTTCTGGGTTGCATCTGAAGATTGAGAAAATATCAAAGAGCGTCCCAAGAAACATTTGAAGTTTTATCATGGTTTTAAAGCATTCTACAAGTCCAAATCATGCTCTAGAAGACCTTCATGAAACCACAATTATTACACCCAACCGGGAAAAGTAAGATTATACAGATTTACATGAAAAGTATGTCGAATTTGCATTCTTTCGCAACAGGAACAAATTCTGTAATGTGGTCACCGGAAGGTTTTTTGAATATTGTTTTTTTTTAATTTCAATGTCAGCTTAATGTTCGAACAAAGTTTGTATTGCTAAACGCAATGTGGCTAGAAAATCATCTCGAGAATGTTTTATACAAAAATATGCGTTCTGAAAAAACTTGCTTGTACGCTGCAGTCCATTGCAAGAACTGCCATCACCGACAAACCGACATGAAACTTAAACTTAACTCTTGATCGAGAATCCATAACGGCGGATTCAAATGTGCAGCGATCCCATCTTTTTTGATTTTAGATTTTTTTTTTTTTTTTTTGACTATATGTTTTTAGTATTACTTCTACGTGAAGTCAACGATTTACATAGTTGAAGATGCTAATTTCAAATAACAGACTGTAGTGGTAATTTTTATACGATAGATGGACTGCCTATAACCGCATATCAGTCCCATATGGATTTTCGTCAATTTCGAGATAACAACGCTATCCACTATCAATTGGCATCTACTTTCATATTATGTGATAAAACTATGGACTTAGATCATGAAAAATATGAAAACAACATCAAGTCAGTTTGTCCCATCTAGCAAAGTAATCGCATATCAGTCCCATCCTGAAATTCAATCGTCCATAGTTTAAGTTAAAGTTCTGCTTTTCGAATTGCCATATTTTTTGTTGATATAACAGAACATGCAAGCTTCATTGTGACAGATTTTAACTTGAAAAAAATATCAATAAATTTACTATGATTTTTCAAATATTTACATGAGAATTGCACTTCGTAACTTCGACTGCCATTTTCTCAATGCCTACTTTTTCCATATGGGACTGATATGCAATTATAGGCAGTGGAGTAGATGAAAGCATAGAGTTGATAGTTCCGTTAGAGTACGGCAGTGTGAAGATTGTATATAGATATTAGACAAGCGAGCTAGGACAACTTTTAAGGAAGGTACAAATCGGATTTTTCATCTCTCTTTACCAAACTCCCCCTTTGGAGAGGGGTGGTGAGGGGTGTCCCCCCCCCCCGCCATCACTGAAATTAGCATCTTCAACTACATAGAAAATTGTTAGCTAGATAAAAATAATTGGCCAGGAATAGATTAGACACGAACCATCTAATACATTTTGTATGCGTGTTCGTGGCTAGGATACACATTTTTCGCGAACAAGGCGGCAGATGTCGGTTTTGTGCTTTGATCAGAAATTTGATGGTACTTTGGTCATTCATGTCGGTTTGTCGGTACTGCCATTACATTTATTACTGCCAGTAAAGATACAATAGGTAGGAGCTGTTTACTTTGGTTTTGCATTTCATTACAGAACACCTTCTATAAGCCAACAACAGCAAGTTTGTGATTTCCTTCAAAAACCTAAACCTTTCCTCTTTTTACAGATCTCACTGCGACTGTGATAAACAATTCTACAACTGCCTTAAGAATGCCAACACGCTGGTGTCGAACCAAATCGGATACACCTACTTCAATCTGCTGAAGCCGCAGTGCTTCCGCCACGAGCACCCGAAAGTTGCCTGTTCGAAAAAGTACCAATACACACAATAGGAATTCCACTTTTGATTAATGGATATTATCGCATCTTTTCAGAAGCAAAGGCAAATGTTTGACATATGTGGTGGACGAAAAGCAGGACAAACTGTGGCAGTGGTTCGACAATCTAATCTATTGAAGCTAATTCTTCTTTTACAGGGATATTCAAACTGTATCATATGTGTGCGCGTGTATGTGTGTGACTTTTACCGCTATACAAATTACGTCTGAGACGTAGTCTTATTTATTACAATTTGTTTTAACGTCGCAAACATTTTCCAGTAGACTGGAAAAGCGAAACCCATGTGCAAAGCGAGCTACAAAACAAAACAAAACAAATGTTGCCAAATATACCGTAGATTAAGTGTACAATTTCTTTTCCTAATTAGATGCCTTTATGTTACGACGCAGGATTCTAGCAATGCGAACAAAGCCACAAATCAAGTTGTGCGACTTGTCACTAATTATCGCCATGACTGCTGCAGAGAAGCGTCCAGTCAAGTCGAGCTTTGTGGTTGCATGCTCGGGCACAAAGTTGCATACACTTTCATTATCATTACCACGGTCGACGGACGGGTACCATAGGACTAACGTGTGCGTGGTAGTAGGATAGAGGGAACGGTTACATAAAGCTGAATGAAAGAAAGAAGCTCCTGACGCGTTGGGTGGCATTGAGGGAAACGTTTCTAGAAAGATAACGTAACAACAGAAAAGCTTCGGAGCGTCTTGAAACGCAATGCTAGCTGAAAGCAAACGTATGAAATGAATGATTCCTAATTGCCCTTTTACTTTGTCCACATAACATCTAACTACCCTCGTGAATGAGAAATGAGGTTGGAAAAGGCAATTTTTCATGGATTGAAAAACTTCATCCATAAGATGATCAATGTAAGTAAGGGGCCTCAGATAGCCTAGTCGGCAGGGTATTGCCAAGTCGTAGGCTGCGGCTACATTCTCTCGAATCCTCTGGGCATAAAGTATCAATGTGCTTGGCATACAATGTACAAATGCATACATTGGTTGGCATAGAAGCCTCTCAATTGATAACTGTGGAACTGCATTTAGTAGAACACTAATTTGAGAGATAAAACGCTTGTTACTGAAGTGTAAAAAGCCAATAGGCTTTCTGGCATATAGAAGAACAGATCAATGTAAGCTAATTCTTAAGGCGACAAATTGGCACTGACAAAAAGTTCAGTTTCGCACCGGTAAAAAACGAATTCGTTATAAGTTTCGAAAATGATGAAGCCTACAAGTAATAGACACAATGCGCGTATCAGTCAAGATGCAAAAATTGCTCTTATTGAGTTTTCCAAATAAAATACCGATTTGTTAACTTTCGATCGTTTATTTGCGAACCAGGAACTAGTGCTGGTTCTATGCGGATAAAAATATCCCGATATCCAGCAGGTATCCAAAATAGATATTACGGCCGTCATGTCACAATGAGAAAACAGATCCTCTCACTATCACGAGACGAAACGAGCGATCATTAGCTTTCTTGTAATTTTCCAATGATCAAGCACTCAAGAGTATAAATCTTATGCAGTTTTGACATCAACATTTCTAACTAATTTAGATGTATTTAAGCAAGTAACTGTAAGTAATCGGTAGGATGAATATAGTTTTAAGATTTTAAACTTTAAACTTTAATAGCAATATCATGAGCTAGTAATCATGATGATCACAGCACTGCCACGTTCTGTCATGACAAAAAAATCGATGAAATTTTGAAGAAAATCTCTGTCATCGTTTTCTCATCCGATGATAGTGACAGAAGTATTTCTGTAAATATCGCGTGAGATCTTTCATTGAAAATGGCATTTGCCTGATCCGGATATCGTAATTTTAAATACTATCGGATAGTGTAATTAATACAGTCTAAATTCGCTGGTTGTTCCACCATTTCGGCCCAACTAACGAATTCGATTCGTTAGTTGAGTCAACTGACAGAAGGCTAAAATTTTTTGGGGGTATGCGCATACTTTGTTGCGGTTGAGAAGATTTAACAAACATCACTTCGGATTGAAATTAATCGCTTAAAGCTGACTGGAAAAATTGAAATACTAATTTGCTCGATACATGTTTTTGACTTCTTCTAAAGGGTGATACGGTCAAAATTTGGTCAATATCAACTTGACGTATTTCTTTCAATTTTGCATTTAAAAAACCTGAACACCCCTCATTTTGAAGGTGTGTGTGTGTAGAATGTTGCTCCTATTTTGATTTTGGAATTCACTCTTCAGTTGTCAAAATGCCGTCCAAGCAAGAAGAGCAGCGTATCAAAATTTTGCTCGCGCATCGCGAAAATCCGAGCTACTCGCACGCAAAGTTGGCAAAATCGCTAAAAGTTGCCAAATCAACCGTTACAAATGTAATTAAAGTGTTTGGGGAACGTTTGTCGACAGCCAGGAAGTCTGGATCGGGAGGAAATCGAAAACCGGAAGCCGCTGAGACGACAAAGAGAGTTGCCGGTAGTTTCAAGCGAAACCCTAACCTCTCTCTCCGAGATGCCGCAAATAAGCTGGGTGTATCGTCTACAACCGTGCATCGAGCCAAAAAACGAGCCGGACTATCGACTTACAAGAAGGTAGTGACTCCAAATCGCGATGATAAACAAAATACGACGGCCAAAGCGCGATCCCGGAGGCTGTACACGACGATGCTGACGAAGTTTGACTGCGTGGTAATGGACGACGAAACCTACGTCAAAGCCGACTACAAGCAGCTTCCGGGACAGGAGTTTTATACGGCAAAAGGAAGGGGAAAGGTAGCAGATGTTTTCAAGCACATGAAACTGTCAAAGTTTGCAAAGAAATATCTGGTTTGGCAAGCCATCTGTACCTGTGGCTTGAAAAGCAGCATTTTCATAGCTTCCGGGACTGTCAACCAAGAAATTTACGTGAAAGAGTGTTTGAATAAACGTCTGCTGCCTTTCCTGAAGAAACACGGTTGTTCCGTACTGTTTTGGCCGGATTTGGCATCTTGCCATTACGGTAAAAAGGCCATGGAGTGGTACGCCGCCAACAACGTGCAGGTGGTTCCAAAGGACAAGAACCCTCCCAACACGCCAGAGCTCCGCCCAATTGAGAAATACTGGGCTATTGTCAAGCGGAACCTAAAGAAGACCAAAAAACTGCTAAGGGCGAGCAGCAGTTCAAGGCAAACTGGCTTTCTGCGGCGAAGAAGGTGGACAAGGTGGCTGTACAAAATCTGATGGCAGGGGTCAAGCGTAAGGCCCGGTAATTCGGATTTGGAAAAGCGGAAGCCTAACTGAATATTTTTCCTGAATTTTATACTAATTGAACTTGAAAAAGAAATTTAATTTGATTTTTTAAATAAACGATTTCACCGATTTACACGCGTTTTCCCTTGACCAAATTTTGACCGTATCACCCTTTAGAATTTAAAATGAATCTCATATGTTTCGAACTAATGTTTACATTCATTACATATATTGCGCAGTTCAAAACGCGTATGCTTACCCCTTGGAGGATTGTTTGTATGATTGTCAAATTTAATTGACACGATATTTTTATATCCAGTTGCGTTTTAATTGGTCATGCTCCAACCAGCGGAGGCCCAACTAACGAGCACCCAACGAGGGAGTTTCCGTTTTATTTTTGCTTCTTCTATTCTACATTTTGAGACTGATTCGAGATTGGGCGCAACTGCTTTTGTAAACAATGACTTCAATCCCCGATTTCTAGCAAATAAAAGCTTACTCTCAGAAACTAACTATACCAACTGGTAGAGGAATCATTTCCCTACCTGGATGTGTTGTTAGTTTACGAGAATGAGCTTTTATTCGCGTTTAATTGGTGATTTGATTCATTGTTTTTAGAAAAGTAGTTGCGTCTTCGACATCGCCCAACAACATGTCTAACATAGTTTTTTTGCTTTTTCATTGTGACAGCCACAAGTGGTCACGGTAGTCGACACATTTTCTGTGATAATCGACTGCCTTTGCCTCCGACACTTGCAAAACAAGCTATCATAGCACAGTACCAAACTAAAATGTCATATGACAGGCTCTGTCATACGACACTGTCGCCGAAGACCGTCACGAATGTATTTATTTTAGTTTTTCTCATAATAAGAGCTGCTGATATTGTGCTTGTGTGATTTCTGAAAATAGCAAGCAACGATGTCCTAGTAAAAAAAATGGTTTAATTTACACCAAATTGAGGAATTAGAACGAAATCACACAATGTCATATGATAGTTATTTGATAATTTTCATTTTGCTTGAACGTTATTCTACCGGTTGTGTTGTGTGAGACAGACGACGGTAGAGCATGAGTGTATGAAAACAAACAAACGTCAACTGTTTCAACCCCTGGTGACAGCTGAATCCGTATTAGGGGCTGTTCATAAACTACGTAGACATTTTTTGGGATTCTTGACCTCCTGCGTAGACAATTGTCCATACAAAATTTTTAAAATTTGTATGGGCCGTGGATGATTGTCAACCCCCCCCCCCCCCCTAAACTGTCTACGTAGTTTATAAACAGCCCCTTAGGTATCTTGAAGGTTGAATTTTCTCAAGCACTACTGATTCTTCAGAAAGCAATGACTTATGGCACGCGTCAAGGAAACGTGTGTCTGTTGGAGGAGCATAATATCTCAACCTTCTGCAACTTCCAAAATGATCCTGTTGAAATCAAACGTATTTAAAATACTAATACAGTAACTATATTGAACGGTAATTTAACTGCTGTAATAATAGCATTGTCGTGGTCAGTTGCCTTTGACAGGTGTCGGGTAGTTCAACACTGCATTATAGGGAGTTTTAAGGATTCAGATATTCTGAGGAGAGATTATTTTATGGAAACATCCAACAGAATCTTGAGCAAAATGTTAATGGACTATGAGGAGAATTCAAAAGGAATTCTACAAATATATGAATCTATATTTGATGTTATTTTGATAGCAAGTCAATAGAAATCTGAATCTGAGAATATCTGAATGGAAATCACGAGAAAAATTCTAAGGGAATTCTATGCAGAGTGTCCAAGAAATGTTGGCAGCATTCGTAGGGAATTTAGAGGAGAATGTTAATTAATCCTTGGAAGTTTTGAGGAGGATTGCAAGCAACCAGTAGATGAGTACTTAAAGAATCGCGAAGATGGTTCCTAATGAATCTACATGGCAATTCTGATAAGAACTCAAAGGAAGTTCTGTGCAGAATTTCAAGGC